ACTACTTTTCCTTAGGAAAGCAACCATAAATCATATTTTGTAACATCTCTAAATATATAAGCTTTGGGGTCTTGGGGATGGTGAACTCTATTCATTTACAGATAAGGAAATTGAGTTCTAAAGAAATAATATACCTTGCTTTAGCTCACAAAGAAAGTTAATGGCAGAGCAGCTACCAGAAAAGAAGTCTCCCAATTCCCAGTCTGCTGAGTTCTATTTCTTCTTTTTCGGACTGTAACTTGAAGGTGGGGGTCCTTCCCTAAAGGCCTTGAAATATGTTACTGTCGATATGAGTGCAATGGAAAATTTCCTATGGTGTTAAATTCTGATTTTGTACTCATTGCAAACCTCAATAATTCAAAATTCCCAATCTTTAAAAACAAACAAAAAAATCATTGACAGACTCTCAGTAATTTCAAGATAATAAATAATCCTTGCAAAAACAAACACAGGAGGAAAAAGATCAAGGAAAGGACAAGGAAGAGAAGACAGAGGACTGAGGAGAAGGAAAAAGAGATAAGTAAGGAAAATCAAGAAATGTGAGAACTGTCCAATACGTTAGCCCCTAGCTGCATATAGCTACTAAGCTTCTAAGACATGCCTAGCATAATCGAGGAATGAATTTTAAATTTCATTTAATTGATTTAAACTTAAAATAGTTGTATGTGGCTAGTGACTACCAAGGTTGGATCAAAACCGCAGACAAAAACATTGGCAGTTTTTATTTAAGATTTAAACATATCAGTTCTCATTAAATTCTACTACCTTTCCCCAAGCCCAAAGACATAGGTGGCAAAGTGTAAAATAAAGGATAAAGGGCCAAGCTAAGAAATTCTGAAAATTATGATGCAAAGTAATCATACAGGCATAAACATTTCTGCATGTGACACATTCAGGCAATCTGAGTGGTATGTACGGTCTTTTGGAACAGAGGAATCCTTTGCTTCAGAACTTTGAAGACATGGATTGAAAATCATTCTAACAATTTAGGAATAATCCAAGAAAAGGGGAATTACCTCACTACTAAATCTGTTGGAGATCATACAATCTAGCTGTATGTTTGAAACAGTGATTATACTTTAACATTACACAAAAAACTTAAAACCACATAGTTCACAACTACAGAAGCATTTCAACCATGTTTTCATTAAAATGATATTTTAAGCATGATGAAAACCACCAGTAATACCTTGAGAAATTTTCAACTGTGCCATGGTCAGCTTAATTTCAGCTGCATTTTCTGGATGCTGATCTGAAAATTCCTAAATTTTTTCAGTTTGGGGGGGAAAAAAAATCACATTTAATTTACACAACTAATTGTACACATTACAATTACTTAACTTGGCTACATAAAATTTTAAATCCAGTTTTAAAATATTCTGGCTGCAGATCAAAATCTTAAGTTGGGAAAATTTTTATTCAACATCTTCTTTTAAAAGGTATGCTCTAAAAGTAAGTGCAATAATGTCAAGTTTTCTGTACGTCACTAACAGAGAAATGTGTCATCCCTCAGCATTGGAATGGGGTATTGCTTCCAGAACCATCCCCCATTCCAAAATCCAAGGATGCTCAAGCCCTTTATATAAAAGTACAGTGTTTGCGTATAATCTACACACATCCTCCTATACATTTTAAATCATCACTAGATTACTTGTAATACCTAACACAATGTAAATGCTATGTATATAGTTGTTGTATTACCCAGGGAATAATTTTTTAAGTCTATATATGTTCAGTACAGAGGCAATCATGCATTTTTCCCCCCAAAATGTTTTGTTTCTTTTTCTCAGGTGGGGTCTTGCTCTGTCGCCCAGGCTTGAGTGTAGTAGCATGATCTCAGCTCACTGCAACCTTCTCCTGCCAGGTTCAAGTGATTCTCCTGCCTCAGCCTTCCAAGTGGCTGGAATTACAGGCACGCAACACCACACCCAGCTAACTTTTTTGTATTTTTAGTAGAGATGGGGTTTTGCTGTGTTGGCCAGGCTAGTCTTGAACTCCTGACCTCAGGTGATCCGCCTTCCTGGAATTCCCAAAGTGCTAGGATTACAGACATGAACCACTATGCCTGGTGACTACCACAAAATGTTTTTAATCCATGGTTGGTTGCATTCTTGGATGCAAAATTCAAGGATACAAAGGGTCAACTGTAATAAAGATCACTAAACAAATTTTTTTTTTTGGCAGGGGGCAGTGTCTCTTCACTGAGTGTCCTTGTTAGGCAATTTTGTCTGTCAGGATGATCCCAATTGTACCTGTCCAACTTTCCAATGTAGTTTATATTCAGGAAATTTAAATATGCAATATAATAGCTGGTTTGGGTTGATGAAAACAAAGTATCTCCATAATCGAGGTTCTGGAGTGGAACGCAGTGGAGATGAAACTACTGAAAAAGAGGTTAAGCATGTTCTGGTATCAGTAAACCTAAAACAATCCCCTAACTCAGTTTAAATAGATCTCCAAACAAAACAGCATTCTTCAGCATTTATGACAAAATATCAACATTATACAAATTTATATAAAACAAAGCTATAGCCCAAGAGTTAACTAAAATGACACTGGAATTTGTGTAGTGGTACATTTCCGATTAGTTTTCCCATTACGTTTACATGCTTGTAGATTATTACAGCACGATGAAAATGTAACAAGGCTGCAAATGCCTGACACTTTCAAGTAATTTATTTTACCTGAAGTAGCTCGATTGCTTTTGTGTGCTGCTTTTCACGGCAGAGCTGGGCAGCCTGGATTAACACAGGTAAGAGATGCTCAGGACTCTGGGACTGTAAACTGGCAGATATTCTGCGGCATTGTTCAGCCTAGAAGATACCCAACCCCCATAACAACAGTAAACTGGTTAATGAAATTAAATAGTAAATGACCAAAAAGAAAATAAGCATGGGAAAATCAGCTAAAACAAATATTAATGGAAGAACTGCCTAGGGTGAGAGAATCCGTTTACAGGATCTATTCTCAATTTTTTCCTATAAGAAAATGATTTCCAAGGCCGGGCGCGGTGGCTCAAGCTTGTAAACCCAGCACTTTGGGAGGCCGAGGCAGGTGGATCACGAGGTCAAGAGATCGAGACCATCCTGGTCAACATGGTGAAACCCCATCTCTACTAAAAATACGAAAAATTAGCTGGGCATGGTGGTGCGTGCCTGTAATCCCAGCTACTCAGGAGGCTGAGGCAGGAGAATTGCCTGAACCCAGGAGGCGGAGGTTGCGGTGA